AGGGGCCAGCAGCAGACTTAAGGCCGCCACCCCTAGATAGCAGGTGTGAGCCCTGAGGGCAGTGGGGGTGGCGGGGCAGCTGCCGAGCCCTGGTGCAACACAGCCTTGCCCCGAGGGGAGAGGATGGCCTAGATGGCCTCCCACACATTCCTCCACTCAGAGAGCAGAAATTCAGGGTGGATGGCAAGGCCTTAAGGTCCTCAGAGCCTCTCTGGAACGCGGAACTCTTCCAGCCCCCTATAGAAAAAGCAAAGGCCAGTTGTTGGGAACACGACCTAGTGTCGGGAGTGAGGGGCTGGCGTCTGGAAGGGTCAGAACGATAGGAGCTACACAACAAAGTCACCCGGTCACCAGAGTAACCCACCCACACACACCTCGACACACCACCACCGCACACACAGCCACACAGGCGCAAGACCGTCGTGGCCGTCCCTGCGATCACACGCACTCACAGCCACACACACGGCACACACACAGGTGGCCCACACTGCCATCCTCAACACCCGCTGCCCAGTCTCCACACACACACACAGGCAGTTCTCACACATAGCCTGTGTGCACCAGCGGTCACTGCTCAAATAGTAGCCGGGTGTCTGCTGCACTCCAGGCCTTGCAGACGGGGCAGGAATGCGATAGTGACTGTGAGCTCCCCGCTCGCCCGGAGGCAATTTCAGAGACTGCAATGAAACTATGCTGAGGAGGTGGGGCGAGGGGCCTTTAGATGGGGGGCCAGGGAACACCTCTATAAGAAGGCGAGATCTGAGTAAGGAGGGGGACCCGCCTGAGAAGAGTCAGAGGAGAGCGGCCTGGGCAGAGGGAACCACAAAGGAAAAGGCCGGTAGGCTGGCGTGAATGTGGCTTGTCCGGGGACCAGAAAGAAGGCCACTGAGACAGGAGAGCAGGAATCGAGGGGCTGTGGGATGGGAGGAGAGGCACGACTGGAATGCTTGGGGCCTTGTAGGCCGGTGTCAGAGAATGAGTAGTAGTCGAAAGGTAATGATAAGTCACTGCAAGGCTTTAATAGGGGGCTGACATGATCTGATTAAGATCATGAAAATGCTACTTTAACTAGAAGCAACCATGAGAGAAAACTTTATTGCAGTTCCCAGAGTGGAGAAGGCATTTCTAATTACAACTAAACCCAGAGGCCGTAAAAGATAAGATTACTACATTTGACTACATAAAACATGTTTAATTCTGCCTGGTTAAAAAACTCCATATACAAAATGTCAAACAACAGTGGATGGGAGGGATCCTTTCTATTTGTATCACAGAGGGCTTGTTTCCTTAATATGTAAAGAGCTCCTAAGAAATCAATAATAAAAAGGCAACCATCCTACTGAAAAAATGGGCAAAGGCAAAGGATGGTTCACAGAAAAGCAAAGGTGGCTCTTAAATACATATACATATATTCTTTTAAAAGAGAGTGGGTCTTGCTCTGTTGCCCAGGCTAGAGTGCAGTGACAGGATCGTAGCTCACTAAAGCCTTGAACTGCTGAGCTCAAGTGATCCTCCCACCTCAGCCTCCTGAGTAGCTGGGACCACAGGCATGCGCCACCATGCCCAGTTAATTCTTTTCATTACTGAGATATGTTGTCCAGGCAGGTCTCAAACTCCTGGCCTCAAGCAATCCTCCTGCCTCAGTCTTCCAAGTTGCTGGGATTACAGGCATGAGCCACTGCACCTGGCTCTTAAATATATTAAAAGATGCTCAATATCATTCACAAGAGAAATGCAAAATAAAAGTATAATGAGATATCACTGACAAAGATCATAAAGTTTGATAGTGATCTATATTGCCAAGGGTGTGTCTCATGGTAGTGAAAACTGATAACCTATGGAGGGGACCGGGCAATATCTATCAAAATTTTAAAAGAACACACAACCTTAATCCAAAAATTCCACTTCTATACAATATTCAGTTGTTTAAAAAAAGAAACAGCAAGACAGCTCGAGATCTACTGATAGGAGAAAATGTCCAATATTTTGTTAAATAGAAAAAGCAAGCCGGGCGCGGTGGCTCACGCCTGTAATCCTAGCTCTCTGGGAGGCTGAGGCGGGCGGATTGCTCAAGGTCAGGAGTTCGAAACCAGCCTGAGCAAGAGCGAGACCCCGTCTCTACTATAAATAGAAAGAAATTAATTGGCCAACTAATATATATATAAAATTAGCCGGGCATGGTGGCACATGCCTGTAGTCCCAGCTACTCGGGAGGCTGAGGCAGCAGGACTGCTTGAGCCCAGGAGTTTGAGGTTGCTGTGAGCTAGGCTGATGCCACGGCACTCACTCTAGCCTGGGCAACAAGTGAGACTCTGTCTCAAAAAAAAAAAAAAGAAAGAAAAAGCAAAGTACAGAAGAGTATATATAACATGTGTCCACAGGTTAAATGTAGAAAAGTATCCATGTAGCTGAACATGCACTAGATGATTCAAGAATGGAAAACACTTTCTGGTGCTCAGGGGAAAGTCAGGACCAGCAATGGAAACGTGGGATTGTCAGTGGACAGATGGTATTTAAGGCCCAGGACCGATGAGCTCACCAGGGAAGGAGAGACTGGGCTCTGGGCCATGCCCACATTAGGTACCTGGATGTGAGGCCTCTGAGGTTCGAGGAACCCAGGAGTGTGGGGGCAAGGAAGCCAAGAGAAGAAAGTGTTCTGAGAAGGAAGGAGTGGCCAGCTGTGTCCGGTGCTTCGAACGATCAAGGGGTAGGGGATGAGCCATGACTGTCGTCAGGTTTGGCATCACAGAAATCCAGGGTGACCTTGACAGGCCATTGTCAGGAACGTGGTAGGGATGGGAAGCATCCCGGGGGTTGAAGAGTGCCACGCAGCGCGGGTTTTCAAGGGCCACGATCGCAGTGGGTAAAAAGCGGTCTTTGCTCAGTGCCTTTGCTCTACCCAGAACCAACATTGCCGAGGCCTCTAGAGGTGGCTTTGTTGCTTACTGTGTGACCCTGAGCAAGTCATCTAACCTCTCTGTGGCTCAGTTTTCTCATTTATCAAAGCAAGAGGGATGGTACCTTCCTTATCTGGGCGCTGTGAGGCTGTGGGACGGTGTCTGGCACAAAGGTGTCTCTGAGCTCCCAATTCAGTCTTTGTTCTCCACCAGAATGAGTAGTAGGAGGTGACCACAACTGATCTGCCTAATTTTGGAGGCATGCTTTGAGTGTAAAAAGGGGCATCGTTAATTACGCCAAGACGGCAGGCATAAACGGTACCATCCCGGGCAAAGGCCATGTGTAGTCACCACAGTGTTAGGGACATTCTTGCCGTCTAGACAGTGAGGATCAGGCCCAACGCTAAGATTTTTCAGGGAATCCCAGGAAGGCTGGAATTTCCCACGCGCAGCTGAGGCCCCAGGGGCTCTCCTTAGGTTCCCAGTAACGACACACTAGTAAAACAAAGCTTCCTTATGCCAGAGCCCAGCCCAGCCGCGCCCCAGCCATGGGCCTGCCTCCCTGCAGAGGGTGCAGGGCACGGCTCTGCCCCTACCCGACCCCAACCCCAACCCCCACCTCCGCACAGAACCTCCCCCGTCCCGCCCTCCCCCCCCACCCCCAGCCCCTACATCTCCCTTCCAGGCACGGGACCCACTGTGCCCTTCTGGCCTCTGCCCCAGCCCCGGCCCTCCAAAGTGCACGAGGGCCAGGACTCATCGCGCCGGGAGGGCAAGAGAGCAGGGTCCCGGGAGTGCCCCCGCATAGGGTCAAGGCCCGCGCCAGGCGGGGACAGGGACAGGCAGGGCCCGGCACGAATCCGAGGTAAACGAGCGTGGGCGCGTCCTGACTGTAGTCCGTCGCCCCGCCCGGGCACTTAACAGTGTGCAGAGCGCTTCACGCCCCTCGACTCTCGGAGCCTCCGCAGCAGTCCGCCCATGGCCACCGGTGCCCCTGCTCCGCGCGTGAAGAAACCAAGGCTCTGCCGCGCCGGGAGCCCCTCCCGAGGCTGCCGCGGGAGCGCGTGGCAGCCTCGGGACTAGAGGGACCCTCCGCGGCGGCCGCTCGCCGGCTCCTCCCTCCTCCCCGCCGTCCCTAGGTGTGCCCGCCCCGGGTCCCTAGGTGTACCCGCCGCGCGCCCCGCCGCGGCCGCCTCCGCTGCGGGCCTCAGGGACGCGGGGTCAGGACCCCGAGGTGGCCGCGCCACTGCGGGTAAGTACGGGGCCGGTCCCCAAGCGCCGCCGAGCGCTCCCGCAACTCCCGCCGCGGGGCTGGGGCTGGGGCTGGGGCTGGGGCTTGCACCTGCCTGCGCGCCGGGCTGCGGAGCGGCTGCGGCAGCGACGGAGGACTCTCCCCGCAACGCCCCCCACCCCACCCTTCTTTCTCGACCCTCGATTCTGGCCCCGGTGGGGGTTCCAGCTGCTGGAGGGTTCCCGGACGCCCCCTCCCATGTCCACAAGCTCCCGAGCTGCCTGGAATGGAGGGAAACCGGGGAGGAGGGGGCTTATCCTAGGGGGACACTGTGGGGGTGGCGGGCGAGGCCGGACGCTGTCCTGTCCAGGGGCTGGAAAGGAACGGTTGGGCTGGGAGCGCGCTTTGGGGGCCCGCGGGGGGTGGGACCAGAACCGGCTCCACCAGTCTCCAGCCTGAGTTTGGGAGGGAGATTCTTGGCGGGTGAGTCCGACCTGCCTGGGGTGTGTCAGGAAGGCCTGGGCAGGCAGCTCCGGAAGTTGGAAGGGGGGGGGGGGGGGGGTGCTGCACCCGGGGAGCCCCGGGAGGGTGGCAGGTGGAAGCAGCAGTCAGGGCGCCCTTCCTCTCTGGGCTGGCAGACAGGGCGCCAGCCACCAGTTCAGCGCCTTTGCACTCGGACCAGGTGAGTGGCGGCCTGCTGGGGAACAGTCCCTTGCGATTATTAGGACAGCCCAAGAAAGCAGAATTATGTCCCTTTAGCCATAAGGAAATGGGATCAAGGAGAGTTCTTGGAAGTCACCCAGCCAGCAAGTGAATGTTTGCCCCCTCAGCATTTATGGGGTGCCAACTGTGTGCCAAGCAGTGGACACTGAACCTAAAGCAGTAGCGGCATTCTGGTGGGGGAGACAGCCGGTGAATAAGAACAAAAAGGTGACAGAGACTTTAATTTTAAACGGTAATTAGGGCAATGAAGAAAATGATGGAGACAGGAGCAGAGTGACTAGGGGCAGGGCCCTTTCAGATCCAGGGTAATCTGGAGACCTCTGTGGTGAGAAGGAGCCAGCCATGTGAGGTTCTGGAGGAAGAGCATTCCAGGCAGAAGGAACCCATACAAATCCTCCAAGGCCCCCAGCATGGCTGGAGCGGAGTGAGTCAGGGTGAGAGTGGAGGAGAGGAGGGTGAGAGTGTAGAATCATTGAACGGAATCACTGAATCACTGATGAATGTGAATCATCCTGTAGAATGTAGAGTGAGAATTAAAGGGGTTTAACCTTAAGCCTAATGAGAGGCTAGTGGAGAGTTTTAGGTAAGAGGGAGACAGGAACCAAGCTCAGAGCCTCTAGGGGCGCAGGAGTGGAAGCGAATAGCCAGTGAGGAGGTCGTGGCAATGATGCCCTCCAGAGTGATGGTGGCTTGGAGCAGGGTGGTGGCCCTGCAGGGATTGTGTGTGCCTCCGGGAGCACTCACATGGGCGTGCAGGCCCACACACGTGGAGAGGCGTGTGCTTTCACACCCACCGCAGCACAGACACAAGGCGCACTCAGGCAGCCTCGCCCATCCACACCTTCTGAGTCACTCCAGGACTGGGAAAAAGATGTGAGATCCCAGGGCCTAAACAAAACCCGTCTCCCCACCACAAAGGCCCTGGCAACCAGCGTGGCTGGGGCTCCCTCGGGCCCAGCACAGAGAGGGGAGTTGTCTCTAGGTACTCCCCAGATCTGGTGTCCTCCCAGCAGCCAGAGCATAACCCCCACCGACCCCCACCTGAATTGGTCTTCCATCTTCGCCACCCCACTGGCTGCGAGACCTTGGGCCAGTTGTTTCCCCTCCCTTCCCTCGGTTTTCTCTCTGAAGACTGGGACTCATAACCCCAGCCTCACAGGAGAGTGACGGCCACAAGGTGACAGTTTCCAGCATCTGGTCTGGGGCAGGCGTCCAGCAGGGAAGGGAGGGCAGGTGGTGGAAGGCAGCCCAGCCTTGAAGCCACCTCTTCTGAGTGACGTGACCCCTCTATACGTCACAGTAAGAGTAGCCGGCATTAATCGAGCACTTACTGTACACTACGCGCTTTGCAATCATTTAATTATGAGTTTCTTCATCTGTAAATGGGGAGCATAGCCGTATCCACCCCAAGGGGTTGTTAGAAAGGAGTAAATGAGATCCTGCTCATAAAGTGTTTAGCTTCAAGCCTGGCTCACAGTCAGGCACAGTAAATGGTAACTATACCATCAGCAAATGCACATCCCCTTCCTTCGGCACACTAGCTCAGTGACTTAGAGCAGGTTACTTAACCTTGGTGTGCCTCAGTTTCCCATCTGCAGCTTGGGAAGAATAGTAGTCACCACCTGCTAGGGTTGTTGCAATCATTGACCAAGTCAGAGCTCAGCACAGTGCCTGGCAGGAATGCTCAGTGAGGTCACCTCTTCATCAATATCAAGGTTCTTCCTCTTCTTCCCCAGGTGGGCACGGCCCCCGGAGCCCCTGCCAGGCGCCATGGACTGGAAGACGTTCCAGGCCCTGCTGAGCGGCGTGAACAAGTACTCCACGGCGTTCGGGCGCATCTGGCTGTCGGTGGTGTTCGTCTTCCGGGTGCTGGTGTACGTGGTGGCCGCAGAGCGCGTGTGGGGGGACGAGCAGAAGGACTTCGACTGCAACACCAGGCAGCCCGGCTGCACCAACGTCTGCTACGATGAGTTCTTCCCCATCTCCAACATCCGCCTCTGGGCCCTGCAGCTCATCTTCGTCACCTGCCCCTCGCTGCTGGTCATCCTGCACGTGGCCTACCGCGAGGATCGGGAGCGGCGGCACCGCCTGAAGCACGGGGACCAGTGCGCCAAGCTATATGACGACGCGGGCAAGAAGCACGGTGGCCTGTGGTGGACCTACCTGTTCAGCCTCATCTTCAAGCTCCTCATCGAGCTCCTCTTCCTCTACATGCTGCACACTCTCTGGTATGGCTTCGGCATGCCACGCCTGGTGCAGTGTGCCAACGTGGCACCCTGCCCCAACACCGTGGACTGCTACATCGCCCGGCCCACCGAGAAGAAGGTCTTCACCTACTTCATGGTGGGCGCCTCGGCCGTCTGCATCGTGCTCACCATCTGCGAGATCTGCTACCTCATCTTCCACAGGGTCCTGCGATGCCTGCAGAAGGACAGGCCGCCACGGGGCTACAGCCCCTCACCCTCCAAAAGCCGGGCCTCCACATGCCGCTGCCACCACAAGCTGGTGGAGGCTGGGGAGCTGGGTCTGGACCCAGGCAATGACAAGCTGCAGGCCTCAGCACCCAACCTGACCCCCACCTGACCCCCACCTGACCCCAGGGCTGGGGTGACACTGGGGCTGCCAGCAGGACAGGTAGGGAGGTGCTGCAGGGTGGAGGGTCCCTTGGGGGCTGGGTGCCCCACTTTGAATTCACTAAGCTATCCGAGTTTTGGCAGATACTTTTTGATGCTGGCCACTGGGCCGTGCGCCTGGGGATAGGTAACCCACAGGCCCAGCGCCGGCCTTGGAGGAGACAGACGGTATGCATGCCATGCAAGGGGACGCCTAGGGCGTCACAGCAGGGCTTCTGGCTAACCCAGGAGGAGCTGATCCGGCTTCCCTGAGGAATAATGTGCAAGAGGTGAAAAGAGCTCCCAAGCAGAGACAACAGCAGGCGCAGAGGCCCGGAGGCCACGCAAAGAGAAATGTTTGCCCTGGGCTGGACACGGACCAGACCGAAAGCACTCTCCCCTCCCCTGAGGGACCACCCAGATTCCTGACGAGGAGAGGTCTTCTCCCAGCAGGGCTGGTGGCTGGAGAGTGAGCCTGGGAAGGTGCTAGAAACACCCAGGGGTCCTCTCGTGTCACCACTTCCCTCCGCTGAGCACCACCCCCAAACCCTGCTCCATCCCCTCCCCACAACCCCGTGACAGGAACCTCCCCAAGGTGCTTTCCTTGAAATCAATAAAGGCCACGTTTTATACAGGCTGGCTCTGTCCTGCATTCTTCCACACCCCCACCCACAGGACCCCGGGGGGCAGGGACGTAGCCCTCAGAAAGGGAAAGAGCTCCAAGGCTGGGGGAGAAACCAGCGTAGGGGCTGCAGCTGTGGCTGGAAGCTAGGCGGGGATTGGGGTTGACAGGCGGGGCTTGGGGGGCCGGAGGTGGGACTGGGATGACCCTCCCATGTATATGTTGGGATTCCAGTCGCGGCCACAAGAGGGTGCTGTGCTCCCTCTACAACAGACCCTCAGCCTTCCTTCATAATTGGTCTCTGCCCCAGTAGATACACAATAACTGTCACTCTCATTACAGACAGCCACACTCCCTCCTCCTTCGTCACCCAGCCGCTGCCACCACAACCCACATCTCCACCCTGTGTACACACAATCTCTGCTATTCATACATTCACTCACTATTTACACTCTCAACGGGCCGCAGAGTCCGCTCCAAGGCATGCAGTCCCAGCCTCCACCTGCCTTCCACTCTGCTTGTTCCACTTTCCCCGAGCACTTTCTCCACGCCAGGCCCCTGGCAGGGTGCTGGGACTTCCCTGCATGGGGAAGTAGGGCCTGAGCCCAGAGAGCTAAGAGTCTGGGGGAGACAGAGCCGCAGACTCAGCCCTGTGCTAACCAACCCTGGGCTGGCTCACAGCTGTGTCATGACCGGAAATGTAGGAGAGGACACCATCACCCGAGCCCAGACCAGAACGGGAAGCAAAAGGGGTGCAAGGCTACACTAACCCATAGGAATGTTTAGTGACCAGCAAAGCCAAGGCCAGAACCAAGAGCCAAAGCAAGCAAGGAGAGACGTCGTGCAGACAGAGCAGGCCGTGGTCCATCTTTGCCCTCACGAGTGGCCAGTAAGGGGGTGGGTAAGCCAGCCAGGTCTAAAGGGCCCAGGGCTGGGCTGCCACTGTTCCCCATGCCCATGACCGAATCAGAGCTTGACCACTGCATGAGCACAGTTTCACCACGCTGCACCTTGTGCAGACTTTCAGAGCCTCAGTCTTGTCATCAATACAATGGGAATGTATCAGTCAGGGCCCGGCAGAAAACAGAGGGAAGGAACATTCAAACCAAGTAACTTTAAAGAGTCTCCTAGACTTTTAAAGGCAGGGGCATGATTAAGGAAACCCACAAGGAATGCTGCAGCACGCTGCAGCTAGTACCAGGATAACAGTGGACAGCAGCTGTGGGAGGCACCCATCCACAGCAACCAAATAAGTCCCCCAACCTCACTCTCCCATCTCCTGCTCACCTGCCAGGGGCTCTCATTTCCCAAGCCCAGCCACAAGTCAGAGGGCAAATCAGCCTCCTGGGGCACACAGCAGGGCGGAGCAGGGTGGAAAGTGCATCTGGGGCAAAGGAATACATTCAGCACAGCACCTGGGACAGTTCCTGCTTGCATGTTGTAGAGATAAAAGAGACCCTATAGGTAAAACATTAGCACAGTGCTATTCAATACCGGGGCAGGGTACAACTATACCGTACTTAGGAAAGTCTTTGCCTGATGCAACCCAGGTCAGCCTCGGCTGCGGCAGGCTGGAGTGTTACAAAGGTCTCAGGGAGGGGTAATCTCCACCTACATTCCAGCATCTTCCAGGGTGGTTCTGGCTGCCTGGCCAAGGGTCATTTGGAAGTCAGAACAACCAGAGAACATCACTGGCTACCCCAGCAGAGAATGAATGCTCAGCGTGGACTGAACTCCCAGTCCTGGGCCCGTTTCTGCAGGCTGTGGGTCAGGACCATGGAGGAGGGGACATTCCAGCCCTGCCCTGCACACAGCCCGCCTTTGGGCTAGAGCTGCTGGAAGCAGTGCAGCTCACTGATCTCATTCAGTATGTACTGTGCTACTGTTCACCACTGAGTACCCAGGGCACACCACTGTCACCACAAGGTGGCCCTCACGTCCCTTTGGCCTTCTCAGGATACCCACCTCTACCTCCTCTGTCCCCATGGCACGAGGATGCACTGCAAGCTTCCTTCGATCATGCGCGTGATAGATTGAGATTTCTTATAGTCTCCAAGTCCACATCAACTGCATAAAGTCACAGCCACCGGGCAGCACAAGGTAAACAGGAGATTATTTTGTATTCATTCACCCTGGTCCAAGCCCCCATGTGGCCTGAATGTTTATGTCCCCTCAAAATTTGTATGGTGAAATGCTACTCCTCAATGTGATGGTATTCGGAGGTGGGAGCTTCAGGAGGTGATTAGGTCATGAAGGTGGAGTCCCCCTGAATGGGATCAGTGACCTTATAAGTAGAGACAGGAGAGAGATGATCTTTCTCTCTCCTCCATTTGCGAATACAAGCAGAAGACGGCCATGCATAACCAGGAAGAGGGCCCTCCCTGACCACCCCTGGCCCAGCCATTGCCTGGGGCTGCCCCAAGAAGAGCTTGTTCCACCTGGACAGCAGCAGCACACCTGGAAGTGCTCCCAGGTGGAAGCTGTCACCTCCCCAGGCTCCACACATGGGGCAGCGAGTCCTACATTGAAGGGATGTCTGAGTCTGCCACCCACCCTCATAGTCTGTCCCCAGCATGGCAGCCAGAGGACCCTGTCAAAATCCAAGTCAGGCCATGTCGCTCCTCTGCCCAAATCCTCCAAAGGCATCTTACACAGGCCTCAGAGGGCCAAGGAGGTCTGCCCCACCCCACACCTCGTCTATTCCTTTCTAAACTCATCCCTCCTTGCTCACCCGCTCCAGCCACACTGACCTCCTGGCTGTTCCTCAAGCAGGAAGCACCAGGTGCACTCCTGCCACAGGGCCTTTGCATGCCGGGTCCCTCTGCCTGGAACGGTCTGCCCCCCAGACAGCCACGGGGCTCCCTCCCTTCCTTGAGGACTCGCATCACAGCTCAGCAGCTCAGTGAGGATTTCCTTTCTCTTCTATTTAAAATTGAGACTGGCCACCCCTTGCACCCTCAACCCTCCCTACTCTATTTTCCCCGTAGCATTTATCAACATCCAACATGTCCTATATTTTATTGTGTGTCTTTCCCCCAGCTAGAATGGAAAATCTCTCAGGACAGGGAGTTTCTGTTGTTTCCTGGTTGATCTCCAGTGTCTAGGACGCTGCCACAGTCCCCAGCAGGTGCTCAGTAACTATCTGTTGAATTAATAAATGCATAGACTGGCCTGGTGCCCTGCCAGGTGGTAGGGTATAAACAAGGCCCAGCCGCCTGCCCTCAAGGGACTCACAGTCTGATGGGGGAGGGGAGTGAAGGCAAGTAAACATTAAACCCAGGGGTTGGGGGGTTGTTTTATGGGTACAGAATTTCAGTTTTGCAAGATGAAAATGTTCTGGAGATCTGTTGCACAACAGTGTGAATACACTCACACTACTGAACCGCACACATAAAATGGTTAAGGTGGTAAATTTTACAGTATGTGGGTTTTTTAACCACAATTAAAAAATAAGAAAAAACTCTCAACACAGTGTTCCTGGAAATATATATACACAAATAAATAAACAACAACAAAAAACCGATGCATCCCTTGCCAGTACTTGAGCTGCTGAGAGCACAAAGGTACACCTAACCTAGTGGAGGCCAGCAAGGGGACTTCTGGGAGAAGGTGACATCTGAGAAAAGTCTCAAAAGATTCATAGGGTTCAGCACATGAGGCTGCTCTATGCAGAGGGGACAGCAGGGACAAAGGCAGGAACACACAGAGAACCACAGGCAGTTAGATAGTGCCGGCCGCAGGGCAGAAGGGGGAGAGGGCTGAGGATGGAGAAGTGGCCACGGCCTGGAGGCTGTACAGCTCAGGCCGCCCCCCCGGAAAGCGATGGGGAGCCATAGACAGGTTTTGAGCAGGGCAATGTCGCGGTCAGCATTTCTAGGGACGGGTGAAGGCTGGGTTGGAGGGGTGGGGCTAGAGGTCTGGAGACCAATTGGGAGGCCACTGAGCTGGTGGCAGGCTGAACAGCGTCAGGGCACTGGGAATGGGAGCAAGTGTGGGGTTCTGGGATGTTTCCCAGATGGAATGGCCAGGTTGTGGGGACTACTGGGTTGGCTGATTCCAGCTGCTTCTTGGTCTGGGGAAGGGGCCAGGTTATTCAAACCCTGACCTCCAGAGCCCCTGAGGAAGGGGTCAGAGCAGGGTGAGGGCAGCCCCGATGTCACCCCCAGCCCTCCTCCCTCTTTCAAAGGAGTTGGGATCAGAAAGGCTTTGTTTGGGAGAGCTGGGCCCAGCCCCAGGAGAGGAACTCGGGAGGGAGCAGAGGCTGCCTGGGCGTGGTGAGAACCAGCCTCCAGGGGCCTCCGTTCTCATGACCTCAGGGGTCATATCTAAGTGGGGCAGTTGTCAGCTTTGGAAATCCAGGAGGCCCAGCTTAGCCTGGCCCTGAGGGAGAAGCCTGGAGGGAAAACAGTTCTCCATGATCCCCTAGGGGTGGCCATCCCTGAAGTCCTGAGGGCTGAGCGCTCTTGCTTGCTCCCCCAGATGTCCTGCCCCAGCTGAAGACAGAACCCTCAAAGACCCAGCCCAGGGACCTGGGAGTCCAAGGACTGGATCCCGTGGTGCAGAAACAGGGACCCTTCTGCCACCAACCCCTGCCACCTTCCCTATCCTCAGCCACCCCAGCCCCTACCACCACTCTGCCCTGAGCCCCGGCCTCTTCTGCTCCAAGACCAACACACGGATCCTTTTTGTTAGAAATGTTCTGTCACAATATTTTTAGCTACCGCCACCCCCTTGAGAATTTTATGTACCAATATTACTCTTGTATTTTGATTGGATCTCCCATCAACCTCACAAAATAGGTACTATTCCCACCCTCATTCTGCAGAGAATTCTCTGTTCCTGCACAGGGTTCTAAGCAACTTGCTTAAGGATGCAGGCGTCAACAGCAAAGTCTCGGCTTCTGGGTTCTGCCAGCAAGAAAGTCTCAGCACTCTGGGGGCAGTGGCTGCCTCTCCACACCTCACGGCTCCAGGCCTTCGAGCCCTTGCTCATGCTGTTCCTCTGCCTAGAATGTTCTTCCCCCATCCTCTGGCTGATGCAGCCTCCTCCAGGACATGTTCCTAACCAAGTTCCCTGTGAGTCACCAGGTACCTCTCAGGACAACTTCCCACTTCTGTGATTTTCCCGTTATCCAAGGATTGAGATGCTCAATCCCTGTATCCGCCAGGGAGAGCTGGAGGCCAGAGACCAGGCTGGCTGGTGGAGTATGGTGTCCCCAGCTCCCCTGATTAACGTTCGTCCACCGTGGGCGATGCCTGAAGGAATGACAGCAGGGTCTGCCGTCCCTTTATTCCCGCTGTATGCTCCCCACACACACACCATTTAGAGGCATGAAAATGGGATCCGAACTAAAGGTCAGGAGGTTCCCCCCACCCTGAGTCTCAACCGGCCCTTCGGAGCTGCTTGGTGACCTCTGAGCCTGCCCAGGCGTGGGGACGTCTGGGAATTCCGGAAGACCCCAGCCCCACAGACTCGAGGAGGTGTGGGTTATAACCGCGTCTCCCACCGTGGTTCCCCATGTCATAATTAGCCTTGATGGCCACGACCTGGCATACTAGGGCCACCTGACAAGTGAGCGGCCCCCACCCCTCACCCCCATCGTCCACCCCCACAGCCCCCGGGCCAGTTGCGGGGACCCACCGCTCTTACTGCCACCTTTCCAATCCAGCGTCCCTGTCCCCAAGGATCCCGGCCTGGGAAAAGCCCATTCCGCCGCCAAAGATCGGCAGGGGAGGAGGGTTTACTTAGCCCGGGACACCTGGGGGACGGAGAGCAGAGAAGAGGAAGGGCAGGGGCTTCGCAGCCCCTCTAGGCGCCCCCAACTCACAGCGCCCCCTCCCGTGAGTGGGCTCAGGGCGTCCGCACCTCCCAGTCCCCGCCCCGTCCCTCTGGAGGCCCCGCCGCCCTCCGCGTCGCGTTTCCTGCCCCCACCCCGCCCCCGCGCTATTTAAGGCGCCCGGCCCGCGCCGGCGGTCCTGCACCGCTCCCACGGGTGCCGCTCCGCGCCGTCCCCGCCGCCACCTGGGCCGCCGCTGCAGGCGGTGAGTCGGGGAGGGGGGCGCCACCTGCCAGCGGGAGGTCCGGCGGGGGACAGGGGGCCCTCCACAGCCCGGACCCAGGGCGGCTGCAGGACGGGACGCCGTGGTTCCTGCCGTTTTCTCACTGAATCCTTATAGCAGCCCCCGGGAGGCAGGAATATCGTCTGAACTTTAGTAGAGAGGAGACTTGGGCGCTCAGAGGTTGTTACTTATCCCAGGCTCCAGTTAGTAGGAACGAGCCATGAGATTTGAACCCAGGCCTAGCTCTGGAGCCTGGCTCTAGACCGCCTCCTGCCTGGGAAAGGGCACCTCCCCCTCCCCTGCCCCGACCTTCCTTCCCCCCAAATGTTTTGGGAACCATGTGGCCTGTGCCTCCACCCTGCAATGACAACTCCTTTCAAGAGCCTTGAATTTGGCAGCAACAGCTTTGGAGGGGAGGGGTGAGGATGGAGGCAGAGGACAGCACCAAGTGTCCCTGCTTAAGTTGCAGGTGCTCCTTAGAGCTGACCTGTAGAGCTAATGGGAGATGCTGCCTTCAGCTTCTAAACCCGCCCCCACCCCAACTGCAAGCTCAAAGATTACAGTGAGGACAGCTGGGGGAGATATGGAGGGGAGAGGTTGGAGGTTGGCAGGGACCTGAGGCTTTGAGTGCCTAAAAAGCTGCTGATAGTACCTCTACCCCCGCCATCCCCCACCGTCTGGAGTGACCAGCCTTGGGCAAAAGGGGGGAAGAGAATGCCCCGCTGTGCTGTCTGGGATAAGTTCCTCAAATTCTCTGTTCCCATAGGCAAAGGAACCTCAACTTGATCCACATCTCCTTGGACTGGGGCCATCCTGGGGCTCTGGCTGGGGTCAAGAGGGACACAGATGTGTGATTAGGCAGGTACCCCTAGCCCTACCCAGGGCCATTCAGAGAAGCAGAAGGCGGCCACACAGAGAGCTTAGCAGCCATCCTCCAAAGATCCGCTTTGGGTCCTGCAGGCCCTGCTGAGCATGACCGACCTGACCAGTGGAATGGGGTTTCCCAGCAAGGTGTTGCTAGGGCGAGTGACAAGGATGCCGTGCTGACACGCTGATGCTGTCTCCCTGCAGACAGAGGCCCGGGAGCCATGGGTGACTGGGGCTTCCTCGAGAAGCTGCTGGACCAGGTCCAGGAGCACTCGACCGTGGTGGGCAAGATCTGGCTGACGGTGCTGTTCATCTTCCGCATCCTCATCCTGGGGCTGGCCGGCGAGTCGGTGTGGGGCGACGAGCAGTCGGATTTCGAGTGCAACACGCTCCAGCCAGGCTGCACCAACGTCTGCTACGACCAGGCCTTCCCCATCTCCCACATCCGCTACTGGGTGCTGCAGTTCCTCTTCGTCAGCACGCCCACCCTGGTCTACCTGGGCCACGTCATCTACCTGTCTCGGCGAGAGGAGCGGCTGCGGCAGAAGGAGGGGGAGCTGCGGGCACTGCCAGCCAAGGATCCACAGGTGGAGCGGGCGCTGATGGCCATCGAGCGCCAGATGGCCAAGATCTCAGTGGCAGAGGATGGTCACCTGCGGATCCGCGGAGCGCTGATGGGCACTTACGTGGCCAGTGTGCTCTGCAAGAGTGTGCTAGAGGCAGGCTTCCTCTATGGCCAGTGGCGCCTCTATGGCTGGACCATGGAGCCCGTGTTCGTGTGCCAGCGAGCACCCTGCCCCTACCTCGTGGACTGCTTTGTGTCTCGCCCCACGGAGAAGACCATCTTCATCATCTTTATGCTGGTGGTCGGACTCATCTCCTTGGTGCTCAACGTGCTAGAGCTGATATACCTCCTGTGCCGCTGCCTCAGCCGGGGGGTGAGGGCCCGGCAGCAGAGCCAGGACGCCCCTCCAGCCCAGGGAACCTCCTCGGACCCTTACACGGACCAGGTCTTCTTCTACCTCCCCATGGGCCAGGGGCCCTCGTCCCCGCCATGCCCCACCTATAACGGGCTCTCATCCAGCGAGCAGAACTGGGCCAACCTGACCACAGAGGAGAGGCTGGCTTCTTCCAGGCCCCCCCTCTTCCTGGACCCACCCCCGCAGGGTGGCCGGAAATCCCCCAGTCGCCCCAGCAGCTCTGCTTCCAAGAAGCAGTATGTGTAGGGGCCTGGGCCTTATGTCACCCAACAGAGGGGTCCCCAGAAGTCTGGCTGCCTGGGGTTACCCCTTCCTTGAAGGCTCTGCAGAGGGGACTAGACTGGGGAAGCAGGTGCTTGCTGGCCAGCAGGCCTCACTGCAGGTGGCTCTTGAACACCTGGGGCCTTCCTGGCGACCAGAGGGCACTGTGGCTTCTGTCCAGAAGGTAGGTTTGCCCCAGGCACAGACAGAGCTGGAGTGGGTGCTCTTGGCCAAGGGTGTTGTGAGCCCTCTAGCCTTTTTCACCTGGGCCAGAGGGACCCAGAGCCGACTCACCCAACCCCACCCTTATGGAAGATTCACCCCTGCCTAGGTTGTCCTCACAGGAAAAGGCTGATCGGGGCTGCTAGGTCGGCCTTGGTCACACGGACAGAGCCTGTGCTGGATCTCGCCTGTCAGGGGGACTGCTGCCTTGTCTTCATCACTCTTCCTACTTCCACTGTTTATGCTTCTAAAATAAACAGGACTTGATCACAAGCTAGGTGTGTATTGATGCTGTCATGGTGTGCTTCAGGACGGGGCGGGGACAGAGAGTTGCTTTGACCAGACTTGCTTTTCTTTTGGGTCCTATATCATCTGTCTTTGGTCTCTGCAACCCCAGCTCCCGCCAGCACCTTAAAACCCTCTAACTCAGACCTTCTGCCTTCCCCAGCCCTGAGTGTTCTGCTTTTAAATGCCTCCTTTCATCCCCACTGCCCACTCATCAGTGGCCAAAGCAGCGTCCTTGCCCTGCCTGCCCCATGCCCATCCGGTGCCGCGGCCACACCACCCCCGACAACGGGCTCCCTAACTGGACAGTTTGCTCCCCAAGCGAGCCTGCCAGCCATGCCCCTCCCAGTCCAGTTCATGCGGGCCCTGCATTCCCACCTCATCCTGGACCCCTGGGGATTTGGGAAGGGAGGTTTCAGTCACTTGTCCTTCCTGCCTTGGCCCTCTCTAGTCTGCCCACCAGAAGGAGCAACTTAACGACCTACATCATCTCCTCTCCATGCACCCAAAACCCAGAACAGACAATGGCAGTGTACAGAAGTGGAAGGGACTGAACCTTGCCAATGAGTCACAAAGGCTGCGGGGGGAAAAAAATGAGCAATTGAACTGGAGTTCACGGGGCAGGGAAAGAACGCTGAGATTCAAGCAGAGGAGCCTGCTTGTGCAAAGGCCTGGAGGAGAGGGATGGCCGGGGGGTGGAGGGGTGCTTGTGGCCTGATGAGCCATCTAGACTGCAGGAGGCACGGCTGAGGACGGGCCCACTGTTGGCCGAACTGACCTTCCATGTGGAAGGAGACGCAGGCAGGGACAGCCCTCAGGTAGTGACCCCCGTGAACAAGCTGGCCGTCCTCCCTACCCAGGGATGGCTGGGGCTGGAGGAGGGAATGAGTCCATCTCATGTGGCCACGTGTTTTTCCTTGAGTGCCACAATGCCATTAGGAAGGGCTAATTTAATTTTTCATTAAATTAGAAAGGATCATTTTGTTTTCAAAGTTTTTATTCTATTTTCACAATAAAACCCTGTGGCCCTAAGGAAAAAAAAATCTTTTTCTAGTGTGCCAGCCAATGTGTTAAATGCTTCCTCCAACATGTACAAGCCATGTGGTTTGGAGTCAATCATTTCACTCCCGAGTCTCAGCTTTCTCATCTCTAAAACGCAGATAACGCTGCCTGCCTCACACACAGCAAGCAATAAAATAAGAGAAAGTATATGACTGTGCCTGGCTCAACGTAGTTGTCACACAGTAAAATTCAGCTCACGCTTTCCAGCAAGGCTAACATACATCCTTCCTCCTCCAGGAAGCCCTCCCAGACTTCTCCAGCTAGTCTCCAGTAATGACCTCTATCTCTCAGGGATCTGGACCCCTACTTAGTAGGTACCTATCTCAGCAAGTCTCTACATGTCACCAAGGAGACACTTTCATTCCCCATGGGCCTAGCCCAGCATTCACTTTGGCTATGAAATCAGAGGTATTGAGTTAGACTGGGCAGAAAGGAGGCCATCCACACGTTGGACGGGCATGACCCCAGGATGTTGAGGTCCTCTTCTAAGGGATTCTCCCTTAGCCAGGGTGAGAGGCCAGAGGCTGTGGGTTAGAGGTTGGTCTCAGAGCCAGCCCTACCTCAGGGCTCTAGGAGCCTGAGTTTCTGGTTTTCCCTACCTGTCCCAGCTTGGAAAGGTAGAAACAAGAAAAGTTTAGGTGAGTGAGAGGGCAGTCTTCCCCTCCCGCAAAGCTCACCTGCTCTGAGCTTGGAGCTGGGGCTGAGGTCAGGCCCAAGGCTCAGGGGCTTCGACCTTTGGCAAGAGTGGGGTTTGGTCCTAGCCTGGTGGCCACACAAACACAAGCGCAAACGGGCTGGGGGTTAAGGGTGAGTGAGGACAGTGGAGTGGGCCGGGCCATACAGTTTGGGCTGAGGGCGTGGCGAGGACTTATGCGGGGAGAGGGCTGCAACTGCATCCCGCCTGTGCTGGTTTGCTAGGGCTGAGCAGCAGAGTGCTACCAACTGGGTAACTTAAACAACAGAAATTTATTCTCACACTTCTGGAGGCCAGAGGTCTGCGATCGAGATGCCTGAAGGGTTGGCTCCTTCTGAGAGCTGTGAGGGAGAATCTGTTGCGGTGCTTTGCTGGCAATCCTTGGCTTTTAGTCACATCGCCCCCATCTCTGCCCTCGTCTTCACGTGGCATTCTCCCTGTGTGCATGCCTGCGTCCAAATTTCCCCTTTATAGAAGGACACTGGGCATAGTGGGTTGGGACTCACCCTAATGACCTCAAATTAACTTGGAATTTAACCTTTGGAAAATCCCTGTTTCTAAATAGAGTCATATTGTAAGGTACTGGGGGTTATGACTTCAATATGTCTTGAGGGAGGGGCACAATTCAAGCCACGTCACCACCCCACTGGCCCCGGCTCTCTTCCAAGCACTGGCCCAGGAGGCCAAGGAGCATATTAAGTTCGCACTGGACGACGTGGTTGGGCCGGAACAAGACAGGATCACATCTTACTCCCCCCTCTGCTTCCTTCTTCCCCCACCAGCCTATCCCTCACTGCCACCAACATCTAAGTTGACAGCCGGTGGCTGTCAGTCACAAAAAGAGCCATAGTCTGGAGTTAGGAGACTTGGCTCCCGCCTCCCACCTCTCATACTCACTTGACTGTGGTTCTTTTCCTTCTCTAGGCCTCAGTTTCCCCACTGTGAAATGAAAGGTTTGGATGAGACACAGGTTTGCGACAATTAGGTGTGAAGAGCGTTGCGTGGGGTAACTTGTCACTCATCATCGATCTAAAGATGATGAGTGACATGCTATTTTTCATGAATCAGAAGAGATTCAAGGTTATTTCTATAATAAGATCCATTCCACTGCCTCGGATTCACATTGCCTTCTTGAGTGGGAAAGAAAGGGCTGGGGTTATGTGGCGTGCACCGGGAATTCTGCATAACCCAGGTCATGTCATCCGTGACCCATGGGAGCATGTGAACGTGGCAGGCCGCACATAAACAACGCAGAGAGCTGTCGGGCTGGGTAATGTCACAACTGCTTCCCAACCTAACGTGCTGGCTCATTGGCCTCGGGGTGGCTGACCTCACGGTCCTACCACTGACCTCTCATGCCTCGACGGGGGGTGTCCCTCATTTCCTTCTCACACTAACCTCACCGTGACCATCTGCAGGAAGAGGTCTCACCATAGGATTATCAGAACCTCTTTCTCCACCTTTAAGCTGCTCCCACCAGCCTTGGCTCTGATCCCAAGAGCCACAAGACGCTCAGTTAGCCGCTCTGTCCTTCATATGGCACTGCAGCCACAAACAGATTGCCACCAGGCCCATCCTGGGCCTGCTCTCCTCCCATTCCTCCAGCCGACCTTGATTTCTAGAAGTCTCCGGCCAACCTGCAGTTTGTTAATTTTCCTCTTAACACGTGCCACTCTCCCATGTGTGCTGGACATGACACCCCAGGTGATCAGAATCCAGCTTTTCACCTCTCTTGCCCTGAAATTTCCACCTCTATTAATGCAACCTACGATGACATTAACTTTTCTATTTTCTTCTCTTTTTTCATATACTGAAATTTTTTTTAATTAGAAAGATAATACATGATCATTGTAGACAATAAGATCCCACCATTCAGAGGTAATAACTGTTAATACTCAGAAGTAATTCCTTCCAGCCTTCTTCCATGCATATTTTTAAATAAAATCTGAGTAAAGGTAGACCTATAACTTTATATTATGCTTTTTCCATTTTATGTTAAATCATAAGCCTTTTCCCCTGTCATTAAGGAAGTATCTTTGGAAAGACATCACTTAATGGCTTTGTCATATGACTTTGTCATTAGCTACTTAACCAGGATCCCGATATTGGATTTTTAGGATGTTTGCAACGAATTATCCTCTATTATAAGTAGAGGTGATGTAGATACCCGTACGTAAATGTTTTCTAAATTTCCATTTCCCTAAAAGAAAGATATTCCAAGAAGTGAAAGTACTGGATCAAAAGGAAGGAAATTTTAAATAAAGAAAATTTAGGGGCTTTTTTCTGATTATGAAAGTAATTCACTGTAGATGATTCAGAAACACAGACAAGCAAGAGCAAATTACAAGTGAAGGCACCGGCGACCTCCGGTAGGAGTGGAGGTGGCGCTAAAACAGGAGGGCAGATTGAAGGCAGTCAGCTAGGGGCTCACCCTTCCCCACCCTGTGGGAGGGAGCAAGTTCATTCGCTGGAGAGGAGAAAGCAGAGAAACGCCATGCACAGTTGGGGTCAGAGCACCATAAATAAAACAGAGGAGTTAAGAGGAAGTTTATAGACTGAATGATGAGACCTCCCATCTTCTCCCCCCAGTTGGCTCCCAGAACACTGGCTGGCAAAGCTAAAAAAAAAAAAAAAAAAAAAAAAGGAATTGATGTAGCTGGGAGGTCCTGGGAGTCTGCCTGGAGGAGGTGAGCTGCAGAGCCTGAGGGGTGAGGAGGAATGATCAGGGAAGGGTTGGGGAAGAGCATCACAGGCAGACAGTACAGCATTGTCTAAGGCTCTCAAGAAGCAGAAAGGGGCTTGATGGATTTGTTGCTCAGCGTTGTTTTTGATATGTACTACCAAGTTGCTTTCCAGAAAAAATTACTTATATGTTCAGTAGCATTATGTGAAGTGTTCGTTTCAAGGCATACACACCAGCATTGCTATAATTTTTAGATTTCTTTGTTTATTAATTATTAACTAGGCAAAAAATGGTACCACCTTTCAATGGATGAATCTTGATTACCAGTGAGGGTGGACATTTTAACATGTACTTCTTCAGCACTTAAGTTTCTTCTGTGAATTTTTGCTCCCATTTTTCTATCAGGCTTTAGTGTTTTCCCATCAATTTGTATTAATGTAAGCTCTTTATAGAGAGAAAGTATCAACTCTTTTTTTTTTCTTTTTTTAAATTTCAGAATATTACAGGATTACAAACGTTTTGGTTACATAAATTGCTTTTCTACCATTT